AAGACAGAGTTAAATGGAAGCATAGAGAAGACTCAATATATAAGTCCTCCTGAGGTTGAGACTAAAACAACAGAGATTGAGGATCAGAATACAATTACTCCTGAGGAAACAGTTGTGGGATCTGATGAACAGATTGTGGAATCTAATGAACAGATTGTGGAATCTAATGAACCAGTTGTGGAAACTGATCAGGTTCAGAGAACACCACCACCAACAGTTAGAAGATCTAGCAGAACAATCAGACCACCACAGAGGTATTCCCCTACATTGAATTACATTTTACTGACTGACAGAGGTGAACCTGAATGTTATGAAGAGGCAGATCAGCTGGAAGACTCTGTTAATTGGGAGTTAGCCATGAAAGATGAAGTGAATTCTTTAATTATCAATCAGACATGGCAACTTGCTGAGTTACCAAGAGGTAAGAAAGCTTTGCAGAATAAATGGGTATATAGAATGAAACAGGAGCCCGACGGTAGCAAAAGGTACAAGGCAAGACTTGTAGTCAAAGGCTTTCAACAAAAGGAAGGTATTGACTTTAATGAAATTTTCTCTCCCGTAGTTAAACTAACTACCATTACGACTGTTCTATCGATGGTGGCAGAAAAAGATTTATTCCTGGAACAAATAGATGTAAAAACAGCTTTTCTTCATGGTGATTTGGAGGAAGAAATCTACATGGTGCAGCCATAGGGATTTGCAGTACAGGGACAAGAGAAAATGGTATGCAAACTTTAGAGAAGCCTGTATTGTCTCAAACAGGCACCCAAACAATGGTATAAGAAGATTGACAGTTTTATGTGCAGTAGTGTATTTCAGAGGCTTTTTTACACAGTATCTATAGAATGAGCACTGTGAACTATCTGCTTCAAAAAGATAGTTGGTTGAATAAAACAGAAACCTTCTTTGGAGAGGGAGAGGAAGCTGCCTGATTCGATGGTTCTTGCCGGGAGAGTCGCATCGGAGACATCTTTATCTGAGGAGGAGGCTTCGTCGGCCGGCTCCTCAGATAAAGATGTTAGGATCGAAAGAAACCTTCTAGCTAACCGGGTCAATTCAAACTCACTACATATGAATAGAATTGAAAAGTTGTAGGAACTCGGAGGAGTTAGAGCAGGGAACAATGGGCATCCCTGCCTGGAAAACAAGAGTAGAGTCAGGCGAAGGACCTGACCTAGATGGAAGGGAAGAATGTGGACAGACGGAACCAAAGAGGAGCTCTCCCTGCTTAGCGCATGCTACACTTTCTCCCTTCTCGACCAGACGAAGGAGATATGAATTCTATTCAGGCGGGCCAAGCAGCGGACCGTTAGGTGCGTAGGGTGCCGCGGTTTGTGGGCTTGAAGGACTTAGCACCATGACAAGTGGTATCAGAGCCAAAGGTTCGGCCAAGCCATTCAGGCAGATCATTGCTGTTATATAAGAACTCAGGGTAACTCATTCATCATTTTATTGCTATATGTTGATGACATGTTGATAGGAGGACCAAACAAAGAAGAAAATTCTGAAGAATTATCTAAAGAATTTGACATGAAAGATTTGAGAGTTGCCAAACGAATCCTAGGGATGAGGATAGAGAGAAAAGATGGTGTTTTGACTCTGTCACAGAAAGAGTATGTTAATAAAGTATTGAACAAGTTTAACATGAGAAATGCAAAACCTATGAGTACTCCTTTAGCTAGTCATTTTAAATTATCTAAAGAGCATTCACGACTACTGAGCATGAAAGAGATTATATGGCTAAAGTGCCATATGCTTCAGCTATAGGAAGCTTGATGTATGCCATGATTTATACAAGACCTGATATTGCACATGCAGTGGGAGTTGTCAGCAGGTATATGAGTAACCTTAGGAAAGCAACATTGGGAGGCTGTGAAGTGCATATTCAGATACTTGAGGAAGACGATTGATTATGCTCTGCACTTTAAAAGATCAGGTTTTAAACTGCAGGGATATGTAGATGCAGATATGGCAGGGGATACAGATGGCAGAAAGAGTACTACTGGGTATGTTTTTACGTTGGGCAATACTGCGATTAGCTGAGTCTCCAAACTACAGAAGATAGTAGCACTTTCTACTATAGAAGTTGAATACGTTGTAGTTACTGAAGCAAGCAAAGAAATGATATGGCTTCAGTCTTTCTTGGAAGAACTTGGCTTGAGATTGGGAAAATGGACTTTGCATTGTGACAATCAGAACGCTATTCATTTAGCAAAGAATCCAGTGTTTCATTCGAGAACGAAACACATACAGATAAGATACCATTTTATCATATCAACTTTGGAAGATGGAATGTTGTTGCTTGAAAATATTCTAAGTTGTCAGAATCCAGCGGATATATTTACCAAGGTCGTCCCTGTTGATAAACTGAGAAGTTGTGTGCAACTTCAGTTGAACTTCTCTACGACTAGAGAGGGTAGAAGAGACATATTGCTTGCTTTGTCTCCAAGTGGGAGATTGTTAGGATTATAGAGCCAAACGAAGAAGAAAATCTTTTTCCTATTAGGAAAAAGTCCATAATTTTTCTTTGTCCTATTTAGTTTGAAATTTTTTTTTTAATTTTCCATTCCCTTTTAGTTTTTGTCATACCATCTATTATAAATAGAGATAGATGAGTCATTTGATTGATGTGCACAAATAGAGAGTCGTGAGAAATTCTCCAAGAAGAGAGAGTTTGAGAACTCAATACTTGTGTATCCGTTCGAAAGTTTGAAAGACTTGTAGAGTGATTCGTGAACCTTTTCTGTGTGAGGGAAAACTGAGAGAAACCATTGTAAGGGGCTTGTAAACTCTTGGGAGATTCTTCCTGACATTTTAGTAGAACCTGCAACGGTAGCAGAGAACTGGATGTAGCCCACACTAGGTGAACTAGTATAAATCTGGCGTTTAATTTTCTTCTCCCTAATCTTTATTTATCGTTCTTGTTACCTAGAAGTTTTAGATTATTTTATCTAATCCTTTTAAGTGTAGGCTACATTTTTTCACAACACTAATGTCGTACGAATGCCCCCAATGCGATTAGAGGCGTCGAAAAACCTCTCCTAGTGGAGTGTCTGGCACGGTGTCACGAGCGTAGTCCAAATGTTGCTGCATCACTATGAAAGGATAGATCAGAAAAGATGCAGAATGTTGGGAGGGGTTCCCATGCCCCAGATTAGTCACCCTATTCTCTCTCTACTTCCTTGTCCCTCCGTATATGGGGGGTGGGGGGAGGGGGGCGGGCGGGAGGAGGGAACCCTAACCGAGGTAAGTTGAAATTTCTCACACAACTCTAGGTGAGAATTCGACACACACTCTCAAGCAGATTCCAATTTGAGATTTCTGCTTCTTTACTCTATTTGCTCCATAGTTGTTTTCTCCCACCTTAATTTCTAACTTAGACATCAAAGTGCATTAGACAGAGCACCACACTGATGCTAGATTTTTGCATGCAGGTGAACCTTGAGCTAGGAGACGATGGTGTACGTGACACTTTTGTGACACTTATGTCGCATCAGTCCAAAAATTGGCTTCAACAATATAAAACTCTCAAACTTTTAATAACAAGATAAGATATATATCATGAGTTATTTCAAGAAGCTATGAAAGATATATATGATAGATTTTTACCAAGATATGTAGTGTACATTGAAATATACTACTACTTCCACTACAAAAAACGGGGCTTTTAGAGACATGGACGTCAAATTGTGGATAAAAGTAACTATCAGTGACGCCAGCGTAGCCACGTGTCGCTAATTAATAGTTCTAGCGACACAGATTGATTTTTGGCGACAAATTTCCTACATCCCTGAAAACCTATTTTCTTATAGTTTTCATAAGGGAGAAATCCACACTTATAAAAAATAAATTTATTCATAGTTCAATCATATAAGAGTGAGAATTCGAATATCTGATGTCTAAGACAAAAGTATAATCCTTCAATAAAAGTTTTAATTGTCAACGTTGATGGAAACGTTGAGGTCTCAATTTCATATAAATATCGATAAAATCCTGATGTTGATAGATATTTATGTAAAAGTTAGAGAAATTTAAAAATTGTAAAAAGTAAACATCATTCTATTCTAAACAAGTTAAATTTTTTTAATATTAATATGATGTATTTATTAGTGGCATTTTGTTGATATTTTTCATATTTTGTCGATTTTTTTGTATTATGATGGAAATGTCGATTTACCCTTCATGTCGATGTCGAATCCATAGATACATAGACCTATCGATGTTGACATATATTTAATATCATGCCTTCAACTAGTTCAGCTATTGGAAAACTTACTACTAATGATGTAGTATCAACATAGCTAATAGTTTTGGAAAATTGTGATCCAAAAGGTGTAAGGTGCAACCAGATCTCACTCTCTCTTAACTCGAGGAAGTCCATTAAAGCACATATGGTAACTGTAAAAACGACAAGTGATAATAAGATATTGCAACCTTAATTCCATCCCAAGATTATGTTTTACAAACATGGCAACTCATTTTACCTTATTCATCTGCCAGCCTACTAACCAACAATCTTGCCTTATTTACATCTTTTTTTTACTAACATTCCTTTCCTAATAAAGTTGATATATTGTATTTTCTATTGTACTATCCTTTTTTGTATTGCGATGGTTCACAAAGAACCAAAATCTAGAACTCTTTGACTTTCTATATAGGTTTGTATTATTTAAAATCTAGAACCATTTGGTAAGAAACTGCCATCGATGAAATAGACAGATATTCCCTTAGCCATTCATTAAATCATTTTCACCAAAATTGTGTTCTTTCTCGGCAAGCTATTATGGTATGTGAAGAAGATGGCGTTGCTTACTAAAACAAAACAATGTTTAAGCTGTAGATCCGCTTACCATAACCTCACTACTGTCGCTCAGCCCTATAAATACAAGGTTTCAAATTTCAAAAGTTTAAGCAAACTAGAATTTCAAGAGCACATTTCTTAGAAAATTAAAGACCCTTTTGGATTCAATATTATTAGCCTGTTCTCCAGAACCTTAACTATGGCATTCAACTTTCTTGTGCTCTTTGTAGTTAGCTTACTAGTTGTCATCAACCATTTTGTTAAGTTTTCTTATAGCTTTAGGTTTAATGCAGTAGTGTCTTTAGATGGTACAGGTAATTTTGTTCGAGTTAGTGATGCAACAGCGGCAGCACCTAACTTCGGCACCACTAGATTTTATATTCATATAAAACCTGGCATTTACAAGGAGCATGTTGAAGTTCCAGTTCAGAAAACATTTATTGCTTTGATTGGAGATGATGCTTCTACGACCATCATCGTTGACAATAGAAGTAATGGGAGTGGGTTTTCAACTTCAGCAACTGCAACCCTTAGTAAGCCTTATATTTTCAATAATAAATTTTACAGTGCATGTTGATTTCCTTCCCTTCTTATTCAAATAAATTCTGAAGTTAAAACTTCAAGTGTTTTATTTGCAGCTGTGAAGGGTCAAAATTTCATGGCTCAATCCTTGACTTTTCAAAACTCCGCTGGACCAAATGAACACCAAGCAATTGCGCTTCTTGACCAAGCTAAACACACAGCATACTACAAGTGTGTGTTTCTTGGCTATCAAGATACTCTATATGCAGCAGCAGTGCCCCAATTCTTCAAGGAGTGCGATATATATGGAAGTGTTGACTTTATTTTCGGAAATGGACTTGCAGTATTCCAAGACTGTAATATATACGCTCAATTATCAGGCATTATCACAGTCACTGCACAATCCAAAGACAAAGTAAATGACCATAGCGGGTTCATCTTCCAGAGGTGCAATGTGACAGTATCGCCAAATATAGCATCAAGTAGGGACAAGGTTATAATGTTTCTTGGACGACCATGGAGAACTTATTCAATGGTTGTTTTCATTGAGTCATATCTTGACAATGTAGTTCAACCAAAAGGATGGTTAGAGTGGCCAGGAGTTCCAGTGAATCTATTGTTTTATGCCGAATATAAAAATAGTGGTCCAGGAGCTCACACTCCTCAAAGGGTACATTGGCCTGGTTATCATGTATTGTACAATGCAAAGCAAGTTGCAAAGTTTACCGTTGAAAACTTCATTGATTGGACTAAATGGTTACCAGAAACTGGCATACCTTTTAGGACTGGTTTGTAAGTAATGTTGAGACGTAACCCTCGATTCTACGAGATGATATTATAAATAAATTTTTATTATGAAGGCATAATATGAATTTTTATAGGGGCACTTGCAAATATGCCAAAAAATTTTAGTAAAATAAACAAAATAACAACCACATTTAGTTTTTTCAAATATAACAAATTTTTTTTTCAGAAAAAACGGAGGTCCAATTGTAAATTACAAATTCGCCCTTTAATATATCTAATATATATCTGTAATATATCTGATCACTGATATATATCTCTGATATACCACTGATATAATAATGATATACAATTGATTTACTTATGATATAACCATGATATCTACTCAACTTCTAACATGTCTTACCATTGATATACGTATGATAACCATTGATTTACTGTGCTAATACAATACATATATATTTGATATGTCTCTAATTTACCGTTGATATACAAATGATATACCACTGATATAACTATGGTATCTACTGATATGACTTATTATATAATTATATGATTTACCACTAATATAACACTGATATATAATTAATATGCTTCTAATTTACCACTTATATACCTCCGGTATAACCATTATATCTACTAATATAACTATGATATATGTGTGTTGATATCATACTATTATATCCAACATTTTTTTCAGATGAAAACAATGGTGAAAATTTTTTATTTTTTATTTTTGAAATATAAAGTTATTATATAAAAGGTTTATGTGGACCATGCACGTCCAAAAAGACAAGCTAACATTTTGATATACTTTATAAATTTAAACAATTGATATCCCTTATATTTAGTATCTAATTAATATTAATATTGAATAAATAGTAGTGATATAGTAATCAACATTATGGATAATATTAGTATATTAATCAACAAATTGAAATGATAAACTATAATTTAAACATCTGATATACCACTAAAAATTAAACATTTGATATACCTTATATTTAGTATATGAGTTGGAAATATATTTAGTATATCAGTTGGAAATATATTTAGTATATCATAAATTTGAAGTACATCAGATATATATATATTATATGTATAATACGTACATTTGATGTCTATCAGTGGTATATCTGATAATGTATATCATAGTATATTTGATACTGTATATTAGGGGTACATCGAAGGTATATCGGAAGTATATCAGAGTTACATCAGATGTACATTAGATATATATTTGATGTATATCATATACAAATTTATATTAGATATATATCAGATATATATTTGATATAAATTGGATGTATATCAGATATAAATATACACATATATATATTAGATATCATTAAGGGTAAAATTGAAATAATAAAAAATCCGAAAATAAAAATTCAAATATTTTTCTATATTTGAAATTTTGAAAAGCTGATGACATTTTTTGAAATATATAAAATATTTTTGCTATCCATTACAATTACCCATTTTTATATGGTTAGTTCAATGAAGTTCCATAGCAGTAATTTTTTCTAGTTTCAATATGTCTTCCTTATAAAGATAAACTCACTACTTCTTACATTTAAGATAAATATGTGATATAATTTTATTATGATTATATGTGTTCAGTTTATTCATACTTGTGATGTAAGTATATATGGGTTACAACTATGGTGGGGTAATACATGCAACCTGTTAATGCAGAAATCTGACCTTTTGGAATTCTACAAAATCCGCACCAATCTCCTAGATTTAAAGGGATCGATAAGACATGCAAAACAAAAAAGTACTAAAGATCAATACGACTCTTGTCACATAGGCTCCAATTCTTAAGTCAGAATCGGAGTAGTTGAGTATGGAGAGTAAGGTATTGTGGCCTCCCTTTAGGTTTGGTTCACCCTCTTATTAATAGAAGTCAAATCCTAATGCATTTAGGAATTATAGAGGTCGAATCCAAATCCTTTTAGGATTTACATAAGTCGAATCCTAGTGTGCTCAGGAGATCTGGCTCCTAGGCCCATGCGTTTCATTGTGGGCCTAATGTCGAATCGAGGGTCGAGACAAGGTAGGTTTGGGTCGGACGGCACAAAGGTTGAGAGAGAACCGCCATGTTTCTCGGTCGATGGCTGAGAACTCCTCGGTGCAGAGGCCTGGTCGACCGTGGTCGACTCGAGCTACTGGGTTCATGCGTCTGATCTTCCAGTCTGGTCTCCCCTTCTGTCGTTTGGTCCGTTCTTCTTTTATCTTCCTATAACAATAGCCCCATTCTCAAAATAGAAGGCAAAAAGCATGCTAACGCTTCTATATTGAGAGTACTTGTTGCTCGATATGGATGACTACTTTTGTGGAATAACCCTTTTACCTTTTTGTTCGCTATTGGTTGTCGTTTTTATGGGCTGGTTTTCTATTACGTCCTCATAATCATGATAGATACAAGTGCAAGTGTACACTATATCCATCGATTGTAGTATGAACGAGGTCGAATCCATAGGGACTTATGGTAATATTTTAAACTATGCTTAAAGATACTAGAAAATGCAAGAAGACAATAAAATAGCGTTGTGGTGTATAAACAGTAAAAGTAAATATCATAAGCAAAAGCGATAGACAAATCCAACAGTGAACACACTTTTAAATGTTGGTAACAAGGAAAAGCTTCAGCATAGAACAACGAAAGGGGGGGAGGGGGTTAACAGATTTGGAAAAGTGGGAGAGATTAACATGTTTTCACTAACCCCAACCTTTACTCTAGCACAAAATTACTCGCTATTGCTCAACTCGACATGGTTCCCTTCCGAGACACCAAAACACCACCCACAACTCCCGTTGTTAGCAATCAAAGCAATAAACACAAGTTTTAAGCATGATTAGGGGACCACATTCCTGAGTATCCACGAACCTACTAAAGAAAAGTAGCTAATCACAAACAGAGCAAGTCAACTACCCATAAGCCCTTTCGAGTCATACAAAAGCTAGCATACTAAACAAGGTGGCAAAAAATGCTCAGCAAGATGAAGACAATACGCACAACTCTATTTAATAGCGAAATAAAGACAGATAGAGTTTCGGTTGTTTAGTAGTTACAACAATCAAATCTCCCAAAAAACGAGGTTTAGTTCATGGAGGAAAAAGGAAAATGCAATGGGTAAAGAAATGATACAACTCATTCTAGAGAAAAAGAGAAAAAAGGCCGATGGAGATAGCAGAACGTATGCAATAGCAGCAGAAGCTACTCCCTGTCGTCAGTTGTCCCCCCGAAAATGGTGGGATTCCTCTCCCTTGTCTTTTCCAACACCAAATAATGTTCCCTATTGGTATCTGTGTGTGTTGGCTAGGGTATTCTTCTGTCCCAGGTCCCAATTTTAGGGCACCCAACTGGTAATTGTACGAGTATGGTAAAATATCATGTATCTGGGATAGTTACTGCACAGTGAATCCATACTCCAACAATTGTTTGCTCCAGCTCGTTTATTCTCTGTTTCGAACACGCTTTATCCATTCCTTTCTGGGCTTAGCGTTTTCTTTATGCCTTTATCTTATTTTTTGGAACCTACACATAAAAGCCAATAATAAGGGATTCAACACTATTTTAAGTTAAAGCATCCAAGATATGAGACTTCAGCTCAAAATTTAATTCCTAAGATCATTCATGATGTTTAAGAGCCAAAATAGACACATTTTACCATTTATTTGCCCAAAATTTCTCAAATAATAACTAGAATAACTCTCTTTTGGAGAGTTATCACACCTCAAAATTAAATCTTGCTTGTCCTTAAGCAAGAGCATGCATTACAACCATTTTATCACTAAGAAATACATCAGCTTGCAAACTCAACATCCAGCCTCTTGCTTCAACACTCTACTTTTATTAGAAACACTAGGACTTACATAACCCTATTAGAATGCTTCAACTGGAGCATAGAAAGGAAAGCAGCTTAATCTTTTTCTCATTCCAGAAGGCACTATTTTATGTCCGACTCTAACTTCTTTCTACTTCCCAACCTCAAGCTTGACTTCCTCTAGCGATATATTCTTCAAGCCCCTTATCACTAGCCTAGATATTTAACCTTTGTGCTACCAACTTGGGCTTCTTCAACCATGGGCTACTAGCCCTTCCTAATCCTGCAGCCTCTTTTTGCTATGGATGAAGGCTGCTAGCCCTTCCTATTGGGAAGTAATCCACCTCCACATCAGGAATAATTGTGCGCCCCACTCTTTCTTGATCGGAGTTCGCGTAAACTTCGCAAACTAACACTGTTAGCACAGGAATGGGGGGGGGGCACAAAAATGCTCCCACTTCATCTGTAACGCCCCGCACTCTCTGACTCATTTATTTTAAGATATAAATAGTGCCATTGGATTTTTCCCTAAAGCTGATAATTTTAATTCTTAGATTTTCTAATTTTTGAAGTTCTAATTTTGGGTAAATTAGAATTAAGTTCGTCGGATTTAGAGAATTTGAGTTTTTCAAAATTTGAAAAGAGATTTTATTTCGTTCTTAATACAAGGTATTGGAAAATTTTAAGTCTTAATTTTTAGACTTTATTCTTGGGTCTTAGAGTTAAAGTTAATTATTTTATCTCGAGTTATTGTGTGTTTTATTTTAACTACTAACGTGTAATTTCGAGTTTATTGTTTTGGGCCGTTAGATTTATTTGAAAATAGAATTTTAGTTTCCTCTAACCCATGGACTTTCCATCAGAGTTGGGAGTTGGCCTTTTCAATTTTAAAACTAATTGAGAGATTTCTTTAAAATTGGGAATGTGGGTTTTTTGGTTTAAAACAAATTAAATAAAAAGAAATAAACAAAAACCCTAGGTCCCTCTTTTTTCCCTTCCCTTCTCTTGTAGCCGCCACTCCCCCCCCCCCTCCGACTTTCT